GCCGTCGCTGGGCTTCCGTCGCTCGGAGTTGCTGATCCCTTGACCATCTTCACTCTTCTCTTCCTCTTAACTTGGTTAGCTGGCACCTATAAAAACAAGCACACACTCCTGTTCCCGGGTCGCGGCACCAGTTGTGGTGTAGTAGAACACACAAATACCGTCAGATGTGGATTCCTTACGCAACCACAACGAATCGCCGAGTTAGGTCGGCGGTTGTATGGCCTGCGCAGAGGGTGGTTCCCTCGCGGTTCGGCCCTTTCGGTACAGATGAGTGGATCGCTTCCACTCGGTTTCGACTAACCAAGTCAGATCACTTCCGAGGCTCCGCCGAGTTTGGTTCGGCTAAGCTCGTTCACAACCCTGTGCCCTCCACCAAAGGATGGACGACGGCGCGCGAGCGCTTTTACAGGTCACCGAGCGCAGAGGCTGCTCAGCTAGAAGTGTTACGGCGTCCGGGCTATCCGACGTACCGGCCCGCCGAGTGTGCGGGACTTCCTTTCGCGCGTAGCGAGACTTTGTCCTACCCGGACCGACCTAATATCTTGGCGCTACCAGTCAATACCCTACCAACTATGCCTCTCGAGTATTGACGGCAGGCATAATCCAGCCCTATACAGGGACTTACCGGAAAAGTGTACACGTCTCTTGGGCTAGGAAAATTCTGCTCTGTTATCTTCTGGGGGCCTTTTCGGCTCTCCCTATTTAATCATATGCTTCTTATACAAATATCTAGTGAAATGTAGTCGTTTCGGATCTCTACCGACCCTTCAGCTGGGTTCAGGCGACCATTGAGCTCAGCGGCTATCCGGATAGCATCATCCGGACAGATCGCCGAGTACTTACCGTGATCCTTTGTTCCTAAGCTCTGGGTTATCAGACCGAGCCGATTCTTGATCTAAAGTAGGTTGGCGTATGGTGGAATCTGGAAATCTCTACACCACACGTGAATACCGCTTACCTCAATGCATGGCTAGGCATACGACAATATCTACACTTCATCAATGGATATCCGTGCAGAGTAAGTGGGTATTCTTACGTGGTACTCAAGGCTTTGTATGGATTAAGACAATCGCGTCGAGAATGGAATTAAGAACTCAACGATTGGTTCATCCAGCGTGGACACCAGAGTTCGTTGACGGAGCCGTGCCTGTACTACCTGTTTGATGGTGGCAGGATAGTATACGTGCTAGTATACGTCGACGATATTTTGGCTGCAACAAACTACAAGGAGTACAAGGATCAGTTGTTCATGGTCTTGGACAGCACGTACGGTCTCAAGGACCAAGGGCTGTTAACACAGTACTTAGGTGTGGAAGTGACTCACATGCCAGAGTACATTATGATCAGTCAAGGCAAGTACGCAAGAGAGATTCTTGGCAAGCTAGGATTTGAAAACGCACATGCAGTAGGGAATCCAATGGAAGTAAATGCACGGCTCACATCTCTTGGAGAAAAGGAGAGTGCAGAAAGCAGCTGTCCGTACCGTGAGGCCATTGGCATGCTCATGTACCTGGCTACAAGTTCCAGACCGGACTTGGCTTATTCATTGGGCCAACTGAGTCGCTTCGTAGCGAATCATTCGGCGAAGCATATTGGAACGGTAAAGAGAGTACTGCGCTACTTGGCCGGGACTTTGGACTATGGAATCAAGTACGAGAAAAAGAAGAACAACTCAAAGGAGTTGGTGTTGCAGGGGTTCTGTGACAGTGATTGGGCTAATGACCCAGATCAAAGGAAGAGCACTACTGGTTTCGTGTTTGCACTGGCAGGCAGAGCTGTAGCGTGGATGTCACGAAGACAATCCGTCATCGCTTTGTTGACCGCGGATGCGGAGTACATTGCAGCGTGGGAAGCCACAATGGATGCAGTTGCTGGGAAAAATGTTTTTTTTTGCAAGAGATTTTATCGCAGCACGATGTGAAATTGCGTGTAGGTATTGACAGTCAAGCTGCTCACGTGATGGCAACTAATCCTACCTACAGCAGACGTACGTGCCACATTGAATTGCGGTGGCATTACGTCCGAGAGCAAGTGCAAAAAGGCACTGTGGAGTTGCATAAGGTGAAGGGGGAAACAAACCCTGCCGACACGTTCACCAAGCCTCTGAAGGTGAAGCGACTGAAAGGGTTGTTGCTAATTGTAGGCATTTGAGCAGAAAAGTAGTCGAAGACCAGTATTCGACCTCGAAGACCGATCTTCGAGAAGGGCGTGTTGGATTGTGCATCAAGGCCTGGCGCAGATTGAAGAAAGCTGGAACAGCAACGAAACCAGATCGTTATATGAGAGAGGGCAAATGCCCGTGAGTGTTGGTCAATGCTCAGGAAGCAGAGCGACTGACACGAAGTAATTCAGTCTTCATATTTTCCCTTTGCAACAAGGAGCTTGTTAGCTACTTCGCGGAGCGTGTCTGAGCGACAACAGTGTTTATAACGTTTTCTCGTCCCCAATTCGAACTGCGAATTGTATTAGTGACGCATTGCTCAGAAGAGAGACTATTGTGCGGCGATCTTACGCTGCATGGAGATAGCGCTACGCTCCCATACAAATAGTGCTACGACCCACCCTAGCGGTACTAGCATCATCGGCAGCAGCCAACTCAACGCTACGTGCGAGTATTCGATCAGGTGAGTGGTAAATCCCACAGCAACGCACCCTCCGAGTAGCAACAGCGTGAACACAGCCAAGAATAATGCCTCCAGCAATGCCACTCGATCGTCTGCAAAGCCGTTGGATACGTTCCTCAGCCGAACAATCTCCATTTTGTAGCGCACATCGTCAAAGTCCTCGAGCTGCAGCGGTGCTTTCTTGGAGTGGAGACGGAGCCGCGGTAGACGGTATTGAGGGTGAGACTTCATATTCTTCCTCTTGCTGAGGTCAAGGTGATCCATCGATATTACCCCTGGTGACTGCGACGGTTCGTTTTTAGACGGCAAATCTGACGTTTGCATTAAAAGAGCAGTGGCGGATGCCCGTTTCCTGTCAATTGTCATCATCGGTCACTAATATGAGAGCAGCGCTAGATAGTACCAATCCGTCTCCTGACTGTCCAAATGTGAATTCCCATAGATTCACGCTAGGTGCATCACATTGTCTTGCCATACCAGTTTTGCTTGTGCAACTCAAAGTAATATTGTAGCACGAGGAATTCGCGGAAACTCCTCGCACGACTGGGCACTCAAGGTTTGATTTCCGTCGGCAGACTGAGCTTGGGTATGAAATGGTTGCTGAATTCTCCTTTGTTCAAGAAAAACGGATAGTCGGACGATTAGGCTGAACGCTAGTCCCAACGTCAAGAAATACAGGAAAGTCGGAGTATCCCAGGATTACTGGTCTTTCTTAAACCAGATCGATGGTGTCGACGCGAATAACCAACGTTAGTCTCGGGTTAAAATTGCCTTGGTGATACTCTACATGCTGCCGAAAATGCAGATGACTAAAATTATACAAACAATCAGAGGTCGGAAAAATACAATACTGTATTGTATTGATGGCAAAGTTTTGCCGCAATAAAAATGCCAATATGAGCACTCCCAATAATAAAAATTGCCGCAATTCAAATATATTGGAGCAATATCTAGCTATGTCTTGCCCTTCCGTGTACTCTTGCACCAGCCATGATCCCCATGAGTATGCTGGCCCGAGAGTCGACTGGCTAAGCCACGCCAAGCTCCTCATCATTAATAGTCGCTATCATGTTCTGTGGTATGTCTGACGACGGCTGCCAGGTTAGTTCTTGAAACCCCACCCAAGAAACTAAAAAGTAGTCTTGCCCGTCTTGACTAGTTTTCTTAGCTTATATACTATCAGCAACATATAAGGCGGGGCCATCTTCGAATTTTGAAGTTTCATCTTCTGAGTCCGTGTTATTCTGGAGAGCCTCCAAGGAAGGCCGGCACCAGGGCAATTCAGCTGCTTCCTTCTTTAGTTCCTGCAAACTTTGCTCCAGGCTGTCAGGTAGACTTGTATGTTTCATCTTCTACTGTCGTTTGACGTTAGCAAGTGCGAGGAGTTGCTTGTTTCGTTTGCTTTTACGTAGCCGGGAAGTCTGGAAATGTAGCTGCTGCTTCACAAGTGCACTATACCAGGCAGCGGCTGGGCCTACAATTCTTATCTAGAGGACGACACAACACTTAATGATATGTGGTGATTATTCTCGACAAGATAGCGAGTCAAGAATAGTTTTCTTGACTGAGCATCTTGTTAGAATATTTGTTTCTAAGTAATTCATCGGAATGATGTAGCAACTAATAATTTGTGCTATTAGTTGAGATTAGAGTACCCTGTCCCTCCAGTTTGTTTCCGCTCATTGCCGCAAATATTGCAGCGAAACAGCCCTTGACCTAGTATTGTGAAGAAGTAGGCGGCGATTTGCTTGTTTAGAACCACCGTAGTTCAAAAATGAAGTGAAGTTTGAGTTGTGGCTCGCGTATCGTAGCTTACCAAGACACTCTCGTAGCCACCGGTTTCAGGTTGGTGTGGAGATAGTGTGGTGAACAACGAAAATGATGTCATAAGATCTGATAGGTGATGTCATATCGAAACAATTAAACGGTTCCTACCAGGGAGCCTTATGCCATATTTATTGTCAATAATTGGTCCAATACCATATTGTATTGATAAGCTCAACTACCAATAGTACATATTTATATTGCAAAACCCAATAATTTATTGAATCGCAATTATTATGTCCGACCTCTGCAAACAATTCCCATAACTAAATCAACGTACCGCCTCAAAAACCGGATCAAAGGCATCCGACTCCGCCACAGCAAATGAACTGCTGTTTAAAGCTGGTACTTGAGTCCGGTCAGCATGAAGAGCTGCGAAAGTTACCTTGGAAATGGTGACGCTATCTGGAAATCCACGGCCGCCATCAACATACACGTTAAATCCATCGCCAGGTTGGAATTCGCTGTAACTCACTACTCTTGTCAACATGAATCCAGGGCTCATCTCTCTCAGCATCACTTTCCCCATGGAAAGGAGGTAATCGAGACCTATCACTTGCTGGTGGAATGTTCGAGCGGACGTGTACAAGACGGTCGGGATGATGCAGGTGAAAGCGAGCGCAAGCAGTCGACGTCACGAAAATCTTGCTTCTGGGGACCAGCGCGCGAGTCTTCGATTGTTGTAGTTATGGGTCTTGTCTGTAGGTCTTTGATTGGCTTTTCAGGAGTCAATTTTTTGATCAAAGTCCTTCTTCCTACCATCATGTTCTTCGACTGCGATCTGGAAGGTGCCTCCGTAGACTCTGGAAGTTGATATCGTGCTACAAACAAGTAAATCAAAGTAAGGTTTGTTAGAAATGAATGGATTGTTTTTATACTGGACTAGACACGACGGCGTATACCTGCATGTTGTTTTGGGTCCACGAGAATTTGGGAGGCCTCCTCAATACGTTCACCATGTACAAGTCTGAAATGTATCCTCATATCAGCGCAATCATCATGTTTCGGTGGAAGGACAAGAGTCTGTAACGGGTCTGGCATCGAAGACAGCTTAACTGGAACCTTAAAAAAACCGTGCGTTAACGCCAACTCTCCGCCACTTTTCGACTTAAATATGTCAAATGCTGTCCAGCCGAAAATTGTTGGAGTACGCGGACCTCCGATACCATTTTGCGTCACTGAAGTCACCTTGTACACAACAAAGGAACAGGTAAATCTCAGACTAATGAAAACAAAACACTAAAAACTAGCAATGTACCTCAACAATTACGCGGAGGTTTATAGCTGCGGCGAGTCTCTTGATACGACGACAAGAGAGAACCAAGCACAGCTTCTGCTTCGGCCTAATCGTTTTAGTATCTTTTGCAGCTACAACTTTGAACGGTGTACGAGGACGTTTGCCCTCGAAGACAGCGTAGGTAAGCTAAGTGGAGCAATATGGCAGAAAACAAATACTTTAAAAAAGCAGCATATGCATCTAATAGTGTAGCAATGAATCGACCGTACCTGTAAACCATTTGAAGTAGTGGGGACCCCATCAACATAGTCCCAAAACAGTGCAAACCCGCTCTCTGGGATGTATGCTTCTGAAGCCCCCAAATGAAGAGCTGACCATAACCCAACAGTCTGGGTTGAATAGCACGCTGAACTCGATGAGCAACTAACTCTCGCTTCTGCTTGGCGAACCAGTCCTCGTGATCGCGGCGTTTTTGTTTCTCCTGTCGACGCTGAATACGCTCTTTCAGGTCTTCAAGCTAACACTACAGCATTAGATCTTTCCACAAAATGTTGAAGTGCTTATTAAGTACTACAAATTGCCTTCTCTTGCTCTTCCAAAAGATCCCGTTCATTTCGGACTTTGGCTAGATTTTCGAGATGCTGCCTCTGCACAAGCAACACAATGTCTGTCATGCACGCTGACCGTAGCAAGAGTACTTGTACAGGTACTTTCAGACTTTTGAGAGTTGGGTCGTCATTGTCGTAAGCTATAGGCGCGTCGACTGAAAGTTCACGACTGTTGTCTGTGACCGTCAGAGTCGAGATCTTTGTCTACCATTAGTTCGTATGCAAAAACACTTACGACATCAAGTGACATAGCGTCAGAGACTTACTTGTAGCTCCCGAAGATGGGTTTGGAGTCGAGCAAATTCTGTAGTGAATCCTAGGTATTTCACCTTGGTTTCCCTCATAGTTCAACGGAGACGACCCAAGGGCGCCTGGCAGCTTTGCCATCTTCAGGCGATGGGTCTGCGTGTCTTCCCAGTCGGGCTAGTAAGGTCCGACCCGGGTTTTATATTAGGAACTAGGCCAACTACATATCATCTTTCTTATAACTTTCCCAGCGAACCTTCTGAGGGACGCCTTAGAAAGAAGCTGATAATTGAGCTCGATCTGGTTACCATCAGACTCGAGACTCATTCTACGATTTACCCGATACAATACACTTGGCTATAAGTTCCAGCGGGGTGGCTCCCGCTTTGTCGAGTGTTGATTGGTTTTTCGCCCGGGATTTACTACAAAGAATTCTTTAGTGGAAAAAGTGTTTTCTTTGGTACAAGTCCAGCTGCCTGTACCAAGAGACAAGAACAAGTACAAGAGTCTGTTTCTGCCGTCGTGACTGTAGTTTTCTTTTGGCGCGACCGAAGCGAGCCGCTAAGGGCCCAAGGGTTAATCGTGTTTGGCGTGAGTAGGACTGAACCTCAACAAGTACCAGCCAGGATGCAAGGAGCTGGTGCACCGGTATTTACACCGATCGTAGCACCGGAAATTACAAGTATCTCTCATGAAGCTCTGACTGATTGGACGAACAAGCGCCGTCACTACGAGAGCAAGTTGAGAGCTCGATGCCGCGCTACTGGAGAAAATTATGACAACATAGTCCAGTCCGCTCGCGACTCAATGGATCCTGATTTACTGGATGTACTTTGCGAGCTGAGATTGAGCGAGGACGTTGCTAACGTGAATGACGACATGCTGATTGCTGAGTTCGCCCTCATCCTCTCAAGCGTGAAGAATGACACGCTCCCTGACGTCAAGGCATTATTCAGATCCAAACTGAGGATGAATCTGACGGAGAGTGATGTCGACGCCCGTGTGCTGGACTACTTTAACCAGTTCCGGAAGTTAGTGCGCGAGAATGGTCTGGGCGCCTGCTTTGAAGGTGACGGGGGTAACGAGGCAAAGTGCAAGCAACTCGTGGCCTCTCTTCACCCAGCGGCTCTCAAGGAAGAAGTGGAGCAGTGTTTGCAGTATACGCACAAGCAGGCCGCCTCGATTCCAAGACTGTTGTTTGACCTCGTCGTTGAGAAGGCGAAGGAACATGAGCGCCAGTTTCTAAGACAAAGGAATAAGAAACGAGATCGCGATGAAGATCTGCAGAAGAAGAAGAACCCCGAAGGAAAGAAGAAAATCAGGACCGGTGAGAATACGGAGGACTCTTCAAGGAAGGTGGCCAAGACCAATAGCATATCCAAGACCAATAGCATATCCAAGACCAAGACGAAATCGAAGTCGAAGAAGCTACCTCCAAGTCCGTGTCTAAAGTGCAATGAGATGCACTGGCTCAACGAGTGCCCCAATGCAACTGAAGATGAAAAGGTGGAGCTGAGGAAACGCTTGCGTGAGGCGAATGCAGCCAAGCGTACAAGGACCAAGCGCCTTGGTGAGTTTCTACCGACTCCATCTCGTGCTGTTATGGTGAATGGAGTACTGGAGATTCCGTACTGCGCTGACAGTGGCTCTGACCATACCGTGATGGGCCGCTCTCACTGGAATCAACTCCGGGCTCTGGACCCAAGTGTTCAAGCTGAAGAACTTACTGTCCCTGTTCAGAACCAGACGTTTGGGTCTATGTTGGTGACTGCCGATAAGAAGGCCAAACTCCATTTAATGATTCGCACCGCGGCTGAGCAGGTTAAACCGATGAAGGCTGTGGATGTGCTGATTGTCGATATGGATGACGACGAGTTCATACTTGGCAATGATGTACTAAGAATGCTTGGGATTGATGTGGAGCGTCAACTGGAGCAACTAGCTGACCTAAATGTGGATGAAACAAGTGGCGATCCTGTTGAACTGGAAGCCGACGAATCTCCGGTCCGAATTGGAGAACCTCAATCTGAGAATGAGGACGTATTTGCTGCAGTTGAACGGTTGGTTGAGCAAGCAGTCGAGAACGGATTCCCAGCAGACAAGCTCGATCGACTTCGTACTATCATCCATGCCTACGATGTATGGCGTTTGACTCTGCAGGATGACCCACCAGCACGTGTTCCACCTCTAGAGATACGACTACGGGAAGGGGCTCGTCCAACAAGGTGTAAGCCTCGACGGTATCCCCCTCACATTCGCAAATTTCTTCACGATTTCAACTCTCGTTTGGTAAAACTAGGACTCGTTTACGAGAATTCGGAAAGTCGATGGGCGAGTCCCGTTCTCCCTGTCAAGAAGTCAGCGGACCTTATGGATCTTCGGCAAACCACAGACTATCGTGAGCTGAACGCATTGACTGAAGTCATGGCAGCAGTTATGCCGATTGTATCCGTGGTGATGGAGAACGCGAAGAAAATGAAACATTTCGGACTCTTTGATTTCTTGAAGGGCTTTTGGCAGCTTCCGTTGGCTTTAATGTGTCAAGAATTGCTTTCATACATGACCGATGAGAAAGTTTTTACCCCTCGCAGAGTGCCTCAGGGTAGTAGTGATGCTGCGATATTCTTTCAGAAGACCATGGAGAATTGCTTTGCCAGTCTACTGTACGACCATTACTGATTTGGATCGACGACTTACTCCTTTATGCCAAGGATATTGATGTATATTTGGACAAGTTGGAAGAAATGCTGTCACTAATGGACCACTTTGGCTTAAAGCTGAGTGCAAAGAAAACGAGCTTGTACCAGACTGAGGTCTAGTGGTGCGGCAGGATCATAAGTGGTGAAGGCATCAGACATGACCCAAACCGAATTGACTCGCTACGTGCTTCGCCATACCCACGTACTGCCGGAGAGCTTCAGCAATTTGTCTGTGCGGTTAATTGGATGCGTCAAAGCATTATTGATTTTGCAAGGCAGATTGCCCCTTTACAACAAAAACTTGACGCGGCTCTCACGAAAACCAAGAGGACCAAGAGGGCGGCTGCTGGTATTAACATTGAGCTGAGCAGTGATGAACGAGTGGCATTTGACCGGATTAAGGATTCGCTCGCCAAACCTGCTACTCTCGATTTTCCTGATGACAACGCTACCACATGTCTCTTTACGGATGCCTCGAACGTTGGATACGCCGTTATTGTGACTCAAGTTGTGGACTTCGACCCTCAGAAGCCTGCTACAGAGCAACAACATCGGCTCATTCACTGCACAAGTGGTACGTTTGCCGGTAGCCAGCTAAACTGATCTGTCATCGAGAAAGAGGCATTCCCCATTATCGTTGCCTGTGATAAACTGGATTACTTGCTACTAAGGCCAAAACCCTTTCGGATGTATTGTGATCATCGTAACCTGATTCACATCTTCGCACCGGACGTTTCGATCAAGTAACATATTAAAGGGAAACTTTTACGATGGTATATGAAGCTAATGAACTACCAGTATGTAGTGGAGCATGTACCGGGATCTGATAATGTATGGACCGATATAATTTCCCGCTGGGCTGGTAACCATTCGCCAACTGTGAAACGACTGAAGGTTGCTCGGGCTCGCCCAAACCAAAGGACTGAGACTGTGTCTGCTTTGCGCCCTCTGGATGATGATTGTTTTGTGTGGCCTACACTGGTGGAACTCAAGGAAATACAAGCCAAGAACTCGGCTCCTGTTCACGCTAATCGAAATGATGATGGTCTCGTGACCCTGGAGGACAAGCTGTGGATCCCATATGAAGAAAAAGAGTTACTTCAGCGGCTGTGCATCATTGCGCACTGTGGCGCTCAAGGGCACCGCGGCCAACAAGCCATGATTGGACACCTGGGACGGCTTTTCGCTATCGAGCACCTCTCAGATGTGGTCGCAAATTTCGTTAAGAAGTGTCTGCTTTGTCTGCATTCAAGAGGGGGAAAGATTATCCCACGTCCGTGGAGCGAGGTGATTGAGTGTCGTACACGTAATGGTGTTCTTCATTTTGACTTTCTTTACATGGGTGAAAGCTTTGGAGGCAGCAAATATCTTTTGGTTATGAAGGATCACGCCACACATTACTGCGGATTGGTTGTTGCAGACTCAGCCGAAAGTAGTGTTGTGGTTGAAGCTTTACTGGATTGGCACTCGCGATTCGGTGTTCCTCCTGAGTGGGTGTCTGATTGTGGAACCCATTTCAAGAACGAGATTGTCGCCGAGCTGAGTCGCCGTCTCCGGTCGAAGCAGTCATTCACACTTGCGTATAGTCTGTGGGTTAACGGATCAGTTGAACGTGTGAACCGGGATGTACTACAAGTGGTGAGAGCAATGATTTAACATACAAAATTGGATACAAAGACTGGGTCTACTTGGTTCCGGTGGTGCAAGCCAATTACCAATTACAGCACTCATC